TAATTATTATTTTTTTATTTCAATTTTGACACAATAAAGTCAAATTGAACCAAAATTTTCTTTGTTGTGTGTAGGTGCTACACACAAATGCATTCTATTTTCTATAAATCATTGCCTCACTACCATTTTATTTTCAGATTATTTTTTCATTTTCAAGTTCCCAATAATTTTTCTCAAACTACTTAGTTGTGAAAAGTCTTATTTTTAGTTTTATTATTCTTAAACTTAAAAGTAAGCTAATTACTAATTTTAAACTAATCATACCTATTAAATAAGGTGTATGTACTAAAATTTACAATCTTCATACATAGTTTTCTTTAAAGTACATAGCACTATATAATGCAAGTAATATCAATTGCATACCATAAATTTAATCTTGTATTTAGACAGAGTAATTCTAAATGATTAGATTACATAAATTTGGACAATAATAAAAAAATATTTTTAGAATATTGTAGAATATTAATTAGATAAATTTTATGTCAAACAAAAGAAATTTTAAATAATATATCTTTAGAGAAAATGAAGTTTAATATTTTGAAATTATCATTCAAAGCTTCACTCATATTTAATTCATTCATAGTTTAATAATTTCATAAAAAAAGAAAGTTGTATACACGAGTTGTTATGATAATTCTTAATACCATAAACTTAAACATAAGGTAATTAGGTAAAATAAGGGATACTCCACGTTGTTACAATTATTCTTGTTTTAGTTTGCAGCGTAATTGAATTTGAACACAATGTTAAAATCTAAACTGTAAAATGAATTTACTTGGGGGAAACTGAGATGTGGAGGAGAAGCCACAAATCAAAGAGTGGATTTTTTTATTTGGAGCCAATCATTGATTCCCCTTTGGATCTAATAACTCACTGTAACATAAGTTTTGGCTTGCTTGATTATTATATTAACTTTATCTTTTTTCTTTATTTGAAGGAAAAATTTGATGTCAATGATGGAGTTCATAAAAAGCATATACTTCAAAACCTTAGAAAGAAATGGAAAGACAACCGGACCAAATTATTAACACCCACTATGATTTTGACAAGAGTAGAGAACAAAACATTGCGTCATGTCTAGATAGGGTTAAATTGGACCATTGGGCAACTTTCATTGACTACAGATTGGATCCTAAAACTATGGTAGTTAGAGATATATTGAAATGTTTTAAAATATATTTTTTTATTACTAAAGATGTTTTTTTAATACCATAGGCAATGTGTGACAAAAATGCTGAAAATCAACAAAAGCAAACAGTCCTTCATACCCTTGGTTCTAAGTCGCTGGCTAGAAAAAAACATGAGTTGGTATATATAATTACTAATCTCATAACATTATCTAATTTTATAATTTTCGTGATATTATGTTACTAACCTTAAGCAAACATTGATTTTAGGAAACAAAGAATAAACAAAGCTTCTCTAGAACTGAAATGTATCCAATCAGCCATAAAAGAAAAGATGGATCTTATATTAATGATGACACTAGAGATAAAAGTGTAAGAACTTTCATCCTTCTAACATATTCATAGGATTGTAGAAATTTAAAATATGGTTGTTTTCACTTTATAGTGTCTCATGTAACATAATGATGTGTATGTTTAATTATCATGGTTTCAATTTTACTGTGTAAGTTGTGCATGATTGTTAAAAGTATTTTTTATATATAGGACCAATTAGCCATGCTTAAAAGTGAAGGGACTTCTTCCCAACATACTTCGCATGATGATGCTTTTACTAAGGTATTTGAAAAGGAACACCTGGGTCGTGTTCGACGTATGGGCTTTGGGATGTGTCCATCTCAAGTGTTGACTTCTGCCAAGATATAGCGAAGGGATGGCATCCTCATTCTGTCATACCTCTGAATCTGCTAAGATTCAACAAATGAAAGCCAAGATTTCAGTGTTACAGGCTCAAGTCAATTATTTCATCACACACTACATAGGTGGTGTAGTACCACCGAATTTTTCTACAGCTGGAGAGAATAGGGTAATTATTTTTATTTTCTCTCATTTACTTCAAGGTTATTTATGACATTGCTCTTGTGTGGATTGTGAAGTTTTCTTACAGTTTTATATTGGTATAGAATATTTGTTTTGTTGGTACAATGTAAAATCTAATTTTATAAATTTTTCCTACAATTTCATATTAGAGACAAGGAATCGCCGGTGCCAGCAAAACCCTCTTCTTCAGCTAGTCATAACCCACAACACCCTTCACCATCTAATACTTAGTTTGTTTGAGAGATTTTTTTGTTTGTAATTTAGGATTACGACACCTAAATTTCTAGTTTGTAAGATTTTTATGGATTTTATTTTTATTTAGAATGACTATGAAATTTTATCTAAATATTATGTTTTATTTTTTTATATGAATGTTTTAATATTTAATATTAGCATTTTAATATTTCAATCACTAATTTAATTAAAAATATAGATGAAAAAAAGGCATAATTTACACTTTACAATGGTTTAAAACTGTTATATAATTTCTTTTCTTATTACAACAATTATAAATGTACTTGCTAGTATGAGTTTTTTTTTTCAAAGTGGATGTTGGCGGCAATTATAAACTGTTGTTAATTTTATTAATAGGTTTAATTTTATTTATTTGGCATAAAATTGCTGCAATAATAATTTTTATTATCCTGATTTTTTTTTACAATGATTTTACAAAAAAAATATTTCTTATTATCTTATTTTTTTGCGGCGATTTTACAAACCGTAATAATTTTTTAATTATAGTCATTTTTTTGTTGTTGTGGTTGTCAATTTTTGGCGACAATTTTACAACCGTCGCAGTATTTTTGTCATTTTATTCTTATTGCATTTTGCAGCAGTTTTTGAATTGCCGCTATATACAGTTTAAATAGCCGCTATCTCAAAACTGTATATAGCGGCAGTTGTTCCAGCAATTTTCAAAACTGCCACTAACTATCCTCCCGACACTTGGAATGGTAAAGGTTTAGTAACTGCCGCGAGTGTCAAATTGCGGCGATTTAAACCGCTGTGAAAGGCAAAAAGAACAGTCACTAAGACCTTTTTTTTCTGTAGTGTTTTAATCTAAAAAAAATGAATTAAATACATGTTATACTTTTAGATCATAAATATATAATTTTTATTTAATATTCACTTTATAAATACATAATTAAGAGAAAAAATTAAAAAACATAAAGAGAATAACTAAGAAGATTTAGAATAATATTATTTCATTCTCATTTTCCGCAATGATATAATTTTTTTAATTTTTTTTTTATAAGCCCGCAATGATATAATATCTCACCATCCATCTAAATCAAATCCCTAAACACCATAACACTTAAGGTTAAATCTGTTATTCATTACGTGTAAGCAAGCAACAAAGCAGTACAGCAAGATGTTTATCTGTGTTTCAATTACTTGTCTAAGAGTGAATATTTATAAGTTTTGTAATATCATTAGCTATTTATGTGGTGGACATTTATTACGAATTTAGAGAATGAAAAATAAAATAAAATAATACTAAAACGAATGAAGGTATGTTGTAGCTAGTCTTATTTTAGTTTCAAACTTCAAAATTGTTTTCGTTTCATTTTCTTAAATCATCGTTAGGTTACGTTTTAACGATTGTGATTTGTGGGAAATGGGAAATAACACCACATTTGTTTTTGGGAAAAAGAATATATATTTCGTGGGGAGAAAAGTAATTATGCATTTTTCTCATTTTTTTCGATGATTTTATTTATAAATCCATTTTTTTATCAGCAGTATTTATAATATATCTATTTTATATGGAGACTTGATAATATGATTCAAGTTGAGTAAATTTATAAAAGAAAAAATATCTTCTAATTTCTACTTTTTTATTCATAAACTCGAACTTGTGATTCCTGTTTTTTTTTTTTTTTTTTAAAGTAAACTCTTGACATTTCACTTAAATCAACGAAAATTAATATTAATTTCTTTTTCTCACGCCACTAGTTGACGAAACAAGAAAATTTTGGCTGTAATTATTATATTGTTAGGAGCATAACATTGTTATTTCATTATTAAAACATTAGAGGATTAGTCATATAGTTTTACCTTTGTAGCCCATTGTTTAGCCCGTATCATGGCCATGACTTAACTGAGTTTTCAAAACATCCAATTCAATTAAGCACTTTTGCTGCGCTTTCAGTGTTGGGAAGACTAGGGCAAAATGTAAAAAGAAAGAAAGCGACTCACCAACATCATTATAAAAATGAAATATACCTATGAACGCGTCGATACATCAACATGTTAGCAATCCCATAGAGATAGTGTTTTGTCAAAATGGCTCATATTTTTCCCACTTTTGCTTATTCAGCAAACTACAGCACATGGGTTACCCTTAAATTTCAGACATATATGCTTGAACAAAACGCATAGGAATACAAGTCCACAGGTGAAAATGATTACTACGTTCAAAGAAACTGTTCCTTCCCCTATGCTTCAAGAAGTCTACTCAGGGAAGGATAATATATACAATTTTCTTTTGCAGCATTGTTCATGCATATGGAACAATAGCATACAACTTGAGGCCAACTCAACCATATTTTCCTTAAAACCTTAGTTTAATTGTATGTTTCTATAGTCATCGCCGTCACAAGTACATTAATAAGTAAGCTTTCGATCGATGTTGCTCTGTCAAGATCACAAGACATTTGTTTTTCGTGCAATTACAATTAGACTTGTAACATCCCTTCGTGAACTATTAAGCAAACTTAAATTATTCTAATTCAAGCAATTAAAAAATATCATTATAATTTTTCTACCTTACATTTTTATTCCTTTCATCTTTCTTGCAATTGCATTCACAGTTTGTATCTGTGTCATTCTTCATTATCATTTCCGATTCAGCCAACACGTTTCCCCCCTCCACACTCCACCCAAAGAAATATATATGCAACTCTGATCATCTCATCATAGGACATTTGTGGTGCATTGCAACTCAATTATAACTCTCATTCTTTTCTTCACTGTTATTCTTATTATTCACTACAAATGGAAACCCTTCGAAAAACATTCCTCACACTCTCGTTGTTATCTTCAATTTTCTCAATAGCCTCATCAAGGAGTGCACCAGCTTCATCCAGCAACATAGAGTGGTGGTGCAAATTAACTCCACACCCTATGCCATGCAAACACTACATTAGTACTCAAATAATGACGAAGCACCATTTCAAAATCAAGCACAAAATTGAGTTCCGGGGAATGCTTGTTCAACTGGCCTTAGACCAAGCCCTAATCATGCAGAAAGAAGCAAATGACTCTGACCAAAACAACATGTCCACAAAGAATCATAGAACAGTTCATGGTGATTGTTTGAAGCTCTATGAAAAAACCATCTTCCACCTCAACCGCACCCTTGAATGCTTGCATGTGAAGCCAAACTGTTCACCAGATGATACACAAACATGGCTCAGTGCTGCTCTCACAAACATTCAAACGTGTGAAACTGGCACTGTTGATCTTGGTGTTCAAGACTTGAAGGTTCCCATTGTGAGCAACAATGTTACTGAGATGATAAGAAACAGCTTAGCCATCAACATGGATTTTCTGAAACAACACAAAGCAGCTCAAAGTTATGATCATCATAACAATCACACCGCAGAAAAAACACAAGAGAATGTGTTTCCAAGTTGGTTTTCAACGCATGAGAGGAAACTGTTGCAGTCTTCATCGGTGAAAGCGCAACTTGTAGTGGCAAAGGATGGTTCGGGGAATTTCAGGACTGTGCAAGATGCTCTCAACGCTGCTGCTAAGAGAAGAACCATGACGAGGTTTGTGATATATGTGAAAAAAGGGGTTTATAGAGAGAACATTGAGGTTGCTGTGAACAATGATAACATCATGCTGATTGGTGATGGAATGAGAAATACTATAATAACCAGTGGCAGAAGTGTTCAAGATGGTTATACCACTTACAGCTCTGCAACCGCAGGTGAGTAATATTCCATCAATTTTAATCTTTCTTGTCCTATTTTCTTTTCAAAAGAATATACAGTCTCAAGAGTTAATTTTTAAAAATAAATGTTTATTTCATTTTGGTTCATCTCATTATTATCGTCTAACTTTGTCTTATTATATCATTAAAAAAATACATTAACCTATTGACCTATCATATATTGTTATTCCTTCTATTTCAAAATGATTGTCATTTTGTGAAAAAAAAATGTTTTTATTATAGTTAAAAAAAATTACGTTGTGTTATTTTAAAATTTTAGTGAAATATTATTTTTTATTTTAATTCTACTCCAATTAAATAATGAAGTAGATATTTTGTTATTGCGTAAATAAATTTTTCAGCAACCATCACAAGACTAATTTAATAAAATTATTATATTAGTTGACATGTTTATTACTTATCTTAATACTTTCGAAAAAATTTTAAATGACAACTATTTTGAAATGGAAGAAATATCATAAACAAACATTTAACCAGTGATGTCTTACATAAAATAAATAACACATGACAAATCATCACTAAATATCTAACTGTGAAATGTTCATTAGTAGCAAATGTTCTTTACAATACAAAAGTTTATAATAGTCTATGGTGTTACCCTATCATAACATTACTCTTGAAAAATGAAAATTCAGGCATAGATGGCCTTCACTTCATTGCCCGGGACATCACCTTCCAAAACACCGCCGGTCCTCACAAGGGTCAAGCGGTGGCGCTCCGGTCGGCCTCGGATCTCTCGGTGTTCTTCCGATGCATCATCGCCGGCTACCAAGACACCCTGATGGCTCACGCGCAGCGCCAATTTTACCGGCAATGCTACATCTACGGCACGGTGGACTTCATCTTTGGCAATGCTGCGGTGGTTTTCCAAAATTGCTACATTTTTGCAAGAAGGCCCTTAGATGGCCAAGCAAACATGATCACGGCCCAAGGTCGAGGTGACCCATTTCAAAACTCTGGAATTTCGATCCATGACTCTCAAATACGGGCAGCACCAGACCTCAGGCCCGTTGTTAACCAATACAACACATTCTTGGGTAGGCCATGGCAACAATACTCTAGAGTTGTGGTCATGAAGACATTCATGGACACCTTGGTGAGCCCATTGGGTTGGTCACCGTGGGGTAATTCTAACTTTGCCCAAGACACACTTTATTATGGGGAGTATCAAAATTATGGGCCTGGAGCTTCTACAACTAATAGAGTAAAATGGCCCGGTTTTCATGTGATTACAAGCCCAGCTGAAGCATCCCAGTTTACAGTCTCTCGTCTCCTTGCAGGCCCAACATGGTTGCCTTCTACAACCGTGCCATTTACCTCTGGTCTCTGATCTTGTGCTCTGTGGTTACACTTTATTGCATCAATTGTATTTGATTATTTGCGATTAAATTGTATTGTAGTTTGTTTAAAAGTATATACAATATTCTTTTGTCCACTCTGAGAGAAAAATACTATGCCATTCATATATCTTTGTAAAAATATATATATAAACTACTTGAAAAAAAAATATTGGTGATTGAATTTCTACATTTGCTTGAAATCTGATGTTGTTGCTTTTATAAATTCTCCTTTGTGGAATCTTCAGACTGAGAGAGTTTTGGATTTAAAATTTTATAATCTTTAATTAAAAGAAATTAAAGAGGAACTAGGGAATGAGAAAAAAAAATTTCGTACATGCATAACATTTCTTATATTTGTTTAATAACTTGTATGCTAGATTTTATTTTATTTTTGGATTTTTGTTGTTTTGATAAATTCAGAATTATTATAATTATTTCAAAAAAACCCATTTCATTTTTAAAAAAACGTTTTATTTTCAGAAAAGTAGGTATCCTAAATATGGGCATTTTATAAAAGTTCTTTCTCCAAACCATTGCACGGAAAAGTCATACCTCAAGGTTGGGTAAAGCCCAATTTCAGAAATAAAATCATTTGGGATTTTCTACCTTATATAGCTTAGTCACAATCACATGAAGTTTAGCTCATGTCTTGAGTGTTATACAATCATTCAGAAAAATTGTCCAAACATATTATGCTAAAATAACGTGGCAAATTCAGTGATGTGTTGTGAATACAAAGGAGATGAATTGAGCTATTGATAATAGATTTGTATGAATGAAAAATTGTGAATAAGTTATTAGAAGAATGCTATTACATGGTGACAAAGACGTATGAATGAAAAATGCTTAGGGTGTTTTATTTACTTTTAGTTTGTAGTTTTTAAACACCGTATTGTTAAAACAGAGTTCAAAAACTAATTTTTAAAAGAGATGAAAGAGAATAAATGGAAAATATATTGGGTACTACACTTACGAATGCAACTAAAGTATAAAAGTACGGCAATAGAAACTTTACAAGTAAACAATAATAATAATAATCTCTCTTTAAAGAACACACTTTTCTCTAGGAGATTATCTTTCAAAGAAACTCTTACACAAGTCATCCATAACATGTACATGTAGAAACAAGCTTATTTATCTATAAAAAAAATTATAATTGTTATTAAGTAAGTTCTTCATTTATTTTATTCTTTTTAAAATGTTTGACTCTAAAAATAAATTTATTATTTTCACAATTTTTCATTTAAAGCTCTTCATTTATCTAATAAACCATTTGAGGATATGCACTACTTAAATATGTCAATGTTGACTGGCTTTGTTATAATATCTGCTTAGATTATCTTTAATGTGAATCTTCTGCATGTCCACACTCTTTGCTTCCACTTTGAGCTTGATTGATATTTCTTAGTCCCTTTTATTGAATAAATTATTATTTGTGACTTTAAGTTTATGATTAGAGCAATTATAATGAATTGTTAAGATCCAACAAATGTTATAATATAAATATGTCTATGCTCTTTTACAAACAGGTAAAAAAAAAGAAAATCAAAAATCAAAAACCAAAATAAGAAAAATTGGGGTCACAACAAAACAAATGAAAGGAAAAGAGGAATAAGAAAACAGATTAATGTGAAATTATTTCAAGAACTTCAATTATAAACTTAGGGACTATTGCCATGATGATTATTCCCCTTTTTATATCCTTTCCTTTCATATATTTCACCCATGTGTTAATCCTTTGGCCCCATTATAACTTTGAAAAGTTCTTATGATTTTATCTGCATTCAATTTATACAGTGGAGAGTTGATTTATTGTCAAGTATATAGTAGTAAATTTTATTTTGGAGATACTGAGTGATAATTCCTATGTCTCATAAACACTTTGAGAGAAAGGTATGGACAATATTAGTTGGTGTGTAGACAATAGAACCAAGGAGCATACAATTTTAATTGAGTAACCCTTTGAGTGCTTAGATTCAATGATTTTTACCTTTATGTACTTTTCACTCTTCCTTGTAGAAAATTGTTTCATGATACAAGGTTTATAAATTGTCTACTTATATTTTTCCATGATTCTTTGCTTGAGGGCAAACAAAGCTTAAGTATGAGGAGATTGATAAGCCCGTATTTTGACACACTTTTCTAGCATATTTATACTACTTATTCTTAAATTGAATATATTTGTACACTAATTTTTCTCAATTTTGCTACAGTCAAACATGCTTGAAGATACACGAGTCTCATAGACATTTTAGGCGCAAACTCAAGAGAATCATGTAAATCTAGATAAAGCATGCCCAATCCACAAGCAGGCAACACGCATCAATATGCACGATCGTGCTTACCTGTAAGTACCCAAATTTAAAAAAAATCAAGGCTTTCAAACTCTATTAAAGGAGACCTCATCGGCAACGAGAAAAACACAACTTACACACCTTTAATTACATCTTTGAATACACTTTTCATCCTATTCTTTGCACATCCTTTTTCACTGAATCTCTGATAAATTCTTAGTGGAACTTGGAGTTTCAAGCAATGTACTTGAAGATAAAAAATTTCTCACATCCTCTATCTCTGAAGATAATTTAGTTTGCTTTTATCTATAACTTTATTTATAATTATTCAGTTTTTTTTTTTTAGTATAAGTAATTAGGTTGATAGTTAGGGTTATGAGAATTTTTGTTCACATGTTTATGGGTTCTATGAGTCAAATATAGTTACTAATGTAGACCTCAACTACTTATACAATAAAAAAATTTGTTTAACATGTAAAATTTTTATATAACTTTAAACACCAACCATATATTTTTAAGATAAAATAAAATAAAGATCAAATTAAAATTAAAAATATTATTTTAATTTATTCTTTTATATGATCAATTAAAAGTTTTAGCGCAATAATAAAAAGACTATTTATTATATTTTTTTTAATACATGGAGCTTTATTGTTGTTAAGTGATGAAGATACTTTTATTCTTTTTTAATGAAAAAATTATCAAAGAGATTTTGAAAAAAGTTATAGAAATATAAGAATTGATTTTTGAATAAAATTGTCTATGGTTTTTTATCTTGATAATTTTTTTTTCAAAAATTCTAACTGATAGTTTTTTATTTTTAAAATATTTTATTATTATTTTAAAAAACCTGCCATTAGCAAGTTTTGACTTCTCGACATTGTTTTGAAAAATATCAATTGCCAAGTTTGGAGATTTTTAAACTTTTCATTATTCCAATGCCCGCAAAAAACTCTATTATTCATGATTTTGAATATCATATTTTTATAATTTTTTTAAGAACACTATATTATTTTTAAATTCATGTATAAAAAAATAACCCAATATTTTTTATATGCTATCATAAAAATTATATTTATAATTCTTACCAAATTTAAAAATACATTTATAATTCATGTAAAACTCATTAATATTTTTGTTATAAGTTTAAAAAATTTGTTTTAAATGCTATTTAATATCAATGCATGCACTTTAATAAAATATTATTTTTTATTATTACTGTAATTAAATAAATTACTTTTATTAAATTATTTATATTAAAAATACTAAAATTATTGGTAGTTAGGTAGTAAAAATTATTCTTGAAATAATATTAAATTTATTAAAATGATTAATTGGTAAGATTTATTTTTAATAATAAATAAAGACATTAGTAGAAAATAAATTTATTTTTTATATTTTAAAATAATAAATAATTTGAAATAAATATAAATTATTTAAATAATATTTAATATGAAAAAAGGAGTTTATCTATATTTTTTTTATCATTTATATAAATACTTAATTAATCTAATTATTTGAATTGTTTAAATTTAATATTATTTTGTTATTTTATCGGAAAAAAGTAATTTAACAATGATAATCTATATTTTTCATAATTTTTAAAAATATGTAAATTTATAAATATACACTTTATAAACAATTTTACGTACTTATGTTTTTTTAACATAATAAATAAGAAAAGGTTTAAAAATACGTTAGAAATTTATTAATTATGATTTAAAAATTTAACTATTAATATTAAAAAAATTATTTTCATTAACTTTTAAGATTTATTTTATTTAAAAAATTAATTTTATGTTTTAAATTTAATATAATAGTGATAGTTTTATTAATTAATAATAACATATATTATTTTATTTGTTTTCCATATTCTTAAAGAAGAAGGAATGCAATCTGGTAACAAGAAAGAGAAAGGCATAAAACAATAGATGTAGCGAAGGAATTAGAACGCAAATTGAATTTATACAATATTAAATTATAAGTGGCGTGTGAAGTATAAGATAAAGTTGTATATAACAAGGTGATCAAGTGTGCTTCGATTATTAAATTGTTCTCAATATTGCTTTTATACAATCAAATTTATGCTTTAGTATATAATAAGGTGAAAATTTGAATAATGTTAAATTTAATTTCTATACTTAACGCTATTTTTCATTTTAATCCTTATATTTTCACTTATTCTCTATATATGAAAATTTACATTTTGATTTTACATATATCAATTTTTTTTATTTTGGTTCTTACATATAAAAATATACTAACATTATTATAACTTCAAGAAATAATTAGAACTCATTTATAAATTTCTTTTCTATATAGAGATTAAAATAAAAAAAATTTAAGACTAAAATAAAAATCAAGTTAGGCATAAAGATTTAAATTATAATTTAACTAAGAATATTCGTTTTATCCTATGTGAAACTAAATAAATACATGTTTGAATTGCTCTCAAAATTAAAAAAATCTACTCTATACAGTTTGATTTTACCTTTTATTTTTATTTAAAATTTTATTTGAAAGTTTGGAAAAAGAGAAAAAAAAATTTTAAGACAAAAGAAGGAAAGAGAAAGGAAGGTTACTAGAAGAATTTCTCAAATTAGAAAAAGTCAAAAACATAAAATTAAAAAGATTTCAAAAAAATTTTAAACCATTTTTCTCTCATCTTAAAAATTTTCAAATTAAGATAATTATCACATAAGCTTTCTATTTTTCTTTCTCTTCACTCCAACAACCAATTTTCAAACAAAATTTAAATATAAGACCATCGTGTATAATGTATGCATGAAACTATCTAACAAAGACTATTAAGAAAAATACATATATGTTAGTTGCATTTTATGCATGAAACTTTATGATGATGGTTTCGTGTTTGAAAAAAATTAATTTGATCAATTCAAATAATTTGACCAATTCAATTAATCATAGGGATACGTTACTGCCCTTTGGCAACCTCAATAAATATACTTAAAAGAGCTGTATCAGGCAAAGTCAACTTAATATAGCTTTAGCTACCTAGCCTTCAATGTTCGTCATGAGATCAACATTGAATTGAATTAAATTAATTAATTAATGTTAATATTACATACAATCATTTATATGTGATATATCCAAATACCATGTTTAAACATTGCGTATAATATATCCTTAATCAAATTTGTATTGGATGATTGAACGTTAAGACATCACTTCATTCATCTTCAATGAACCTTGCCGGCCAGAACCATCGCATTGCTTTTGAGTCTATTTAACCAATATTTACAAGAACCTTAACCGTGTCATGACCATTCATTCTACCATTATTTTCATACATCAAAGAAAGCTTAGCAACAATGGCCAAAAGTCTTGGCCTAATCATAGTCTTCATATCCTTATTTTCTCTGCCTTCACCAACCCTTTCAAGCATGTTATCTAATGCCATTGATTTTTGGTGCGATAAAACCCCACATCCTCAAACATGCTTGCATTTTGCCACAATAAACCATCACCTTCAAGATGGTATCCCAAAAAGTGCATCACAATTCAAGAACTTCATCCTTAGAATTGCAATGGACCAATCAGTGAAAGCCCAAATTCGCATTGTGTGGTTGGGCTCCAAATGTAGAAGCAAGGAAGAAAAAGCAGCATGGAGAGATTGCATAAACCTATATCAAGACACCATCACCATTCTCAACCAAACACTTGACCCTATCAAACAAAGTACTAGCTATGATCTCCAAACATGGCTTAGCACAGCTTTAACCAACCTTGACACTTGCCAAACCGGGTTCCAAGAGTTTGGGGTTGGCAACAATGTTCTACCCCTCATTCCCAACAAGACTATCTCAAAGATCATAAGCAACTTTTTAGCTCTTAACAATGCTTCTTCATCAATTACTCCAAAGACTATGAGTTCCCAAAATGGGTTTCCAAGTTGGCTGTCACCCGGTGATAGGAAGCTTCTAGAGTCACCATTGTTATCACCAAATGTTGTGGTGGCCAAAGATGGTTCAGGGAATTTTAAGACCATCAAGGAAGCTTTGGAAGCTGTTCCCAAGAGGAGTGGGAAAAATAGGTTTGTTATATATGTTAAGCCTGGGGTTTATAATGAAAACATTGAAATTGGAAGGAACTTAAATAATATTATGTTGTATGGTGATGGTATAAGGCTCACCATCATCTCTGGTAGCCGAAGCATTGGAGGAGGTTCTACCACTTTTAATTCGGCAACAGTTGGTAAGTGTTTCATTAATTTCATCTCTTTTGAGTATAAGTTTTAAATATTCCTGGAGAAAAGGAAATTTTCAAATTTGCAATTTTAATTTGATATAAAAATATATAATACTAATAATAACGAAATTTCAATTGCTCAAATTAGAGTGAAAAGGTACTTCCTTTGCTGGGAAGCTTCTTCTAGCCTTCTAGAGATAACTAATGTAGGACAAAGAAAAGTCATAATATTAATGTAGTTTATTTCTTCATTTTTCTTTTAAAAATGATTAAAAATATAAAAATTGAAAAATTTTACATTTTGAATATAATAAATATTTTATTTTCAATAAAAATTTGTCACTTATAACAGCTTTAAAGTAATACCCAGGACTGAAATTAACTTTTTCTTAAAAACAAAACTAGAAATAGAGTTTAATTACTGATGTAAGTTTTATCCACAAAAAGAATTATCATTAAATTGAAACTTAAGGCTTCATTTTCTTTGGTACCAAAAAATTGGGGAGATTTTTCAAAACAAATTAACAAATATCATATTAACTATGTGGAAACAAAGTTATAACTTTTATTTTACACTTTCTAAAATGACTGTCTTTTTCTTTTTATTTGATTTATTTTTTTCTAGTTCCTTTTTTAAGATCTATTTTATCTAAAAACCGCCTTAGACCTCTAGCAATTCAAATTAAGCTGAGGAAAAAAAAATGCATATTAGCATTTTGAGGCTTAAGTTAAGTGTACTACTTACTTCTTGAACTTTAGAAAGATGTAGTTCAACTTTTAGGGTTTTAATATCTGTAAGATATTTTTTTGTTAATTTATTTTCAAACTATCTTTAGAAAAAATATGCAAATTAGCACCCCCAAAGTTTAAATAATTTAGTCACTTAATGATTTTATAAAAATAATTTAAAAAAAAATAGATAGAAGGGTTGTTCTGCACAAATTAAAAAAAATTAAGGTTAAAATATATATTTTAAAATAAATCATTTATGACTCAAACGACATGGTATTAATTTACAATTTTCCAATTAAATTAAATAAATTCATTAAGTAATTAAAAAAATTTCTATTTTTCTATTCACTCTCAAACTCAAGACCTTAACAAAAAACAGACTCTTTCTTACTAGCATAAGTTATTTTTTTCTTAAAAGAAATATTAATAACACACTTTCTTTGACATACTTTTTATTATTATTTAAAATTTATTAAAAATTTAAAAAATATAAGAAAAAAAACATTAATTTAAAAATAAGAAGGAGTGAGACTCACATAATTTTGTAGATTTTAATAAATTTTAATTAATAATAAGAGGTATGTTAAAGAATGTATTAGAAAGTGTGTTGCTAGTATAACTCTTTTTTTAAAGACTATTTTATTTTTGGTTTGATTACTTTATACAAACCAAGTCAATATAATTTCGTAGACTTTTGATTCATTGCATTGCTTGATCAGTTATGTCAACAGAAAAAGTTTGAAGCATATGTTGTATATATATGTTGGAGTATCTATTGCACTTTGTTTATAAATTCTTAGAAAATGTTTGCTTCTGTCAAAGTGAATTTGTAGTTTCCTTTGATGTTGGGAGAGTATTTTTTTAAATATATATGTATAAGAAAGATAAACAAAAATAAATAGAAAAATAATGAAATTTTAAGAGCCTACTGAGAAGAACTTAAAAATAACTTATTAAAAACAAATTATAATTCTCATAACTTTTTTTAAGCTATTTTAATGAACTAATTAGTATAGCTCATCAAAATAAGCTATTTTCTTAAATACACAGTTATTCAAACTCTAATTATATTTTAATGATCTCTCCGGCTAAAAGGGAATTGTCTTGGACTGGCAGTTAAAGTCTACTATTGATGCACATAAAAAATAAATTGTATATAATATAAAAAAAAAGTATTAATTATTAAAAGTTCAGAGAGGCAAGGACAAAATTAAGGCCAACAATAGAAAGCACACCAACGTTGCTCGAATGTTTGCAGCAGTGGTAGGAGATGGATTCATTGGTCGTGGCATAACATTTCGGAACACAGCAGGGCCACAAAAACACCAAGCAGTAGCATTGCGTTGTGGTGCTGATCACTCTGTCTTTTATCGTTGTGCTTTTGAAGGCTATCAAGACACTCTCTATGTCCACTCCCAAAGACAATTCTTCAAGGAATGCCACATTTATGGCACACTCGACTTCATCTTTGGCAATGCCGCTGTAGTCTTCCAGAGCTGCAACATTTATGCAAGAAGGCCAATGCAGAAACAGAAAATTGCCATAACAGCACAAGGTAGGGTTGCAGGAATAAGATAATTTTTCATTACTTTGCCGCATAATGTTATGGTGGTATGATGGTATTTACCAGATACACAATCTTCTAATTCATTAACTTATGAATATATATTTTCAAAATATTTGTCACAGGTAGGTCAGATCCAAATCAAAACACTGGGATTTCCATCCAAAACTCGCGTGTTATGGCCGCTGAAGATCTTGTCCCTATGTTGGGCTCCTTCAAAACCTTCTTGGGTAGGCCATGGAAGGAGTATTCAAGAACCGTGTTCTTGCAAACATACCTCGATGCATTAGTGGACCCTGCTGGGTGGTTGGAGTGGAATGGTGATTTTGCCTGTGACACATTGTATTATGGAGAGTATAAGAACCTTGGTCCTAGGGCTTCCACTGGAGGAAGAGTTAAATGGCATGGTTACCATGTCATAACAAGTGCAACCCAAGCATCCAAATTCACGGTTGAAAATTTCATTGCAGGGAGATCATGGTTACCTGCCACAGGCATTCCATTCTTCTCGGGACTCTGATCTTAACAATTTTATGAGTACCATGATTACACTTTTTTTCAAAATATATTTTATCGTATTGAATAAATAATAATATATTTAGAAAATACATCATTAACATTCCTCTAATTTTAAATTACAGTCTGAAATAACAATTACCACAACATTAAGACTTTCGAAATCTTTGTAACAACATTGTAGTGACTAAAGTTGCAGCACATTTGTTCAACTTTTTCTATAATATCAAAGTTATTAAAGGTTTTCAACTGTGACAATGATCACAGTTTGAAACCTTGCGGATGATTAAAGCCAGAATGTTATCCGTGATAAGATGTTTGATGTTGTCTTTGGTAGTTATTTGTGTGTTGAAAAGGACTGCTACAGTATGAAAGATGTGATGGCCAAGATTATTTGTTTATTATTTCCTTTTCTCAAGTAAGATACACAGTTCTTGAATTCTACTTTGGCGCAAAGAAAACTTGCCTTTGCAAAATTAAAATAGTTCGCAAAATATGAATTGATCACAAAAGAAGCATAGTAGGTGACACTCCCTGTACCTTGTACATTCAACTTCCAAACTCGAATCTATATTACCCAGTTTTTGAGATCCAAGAGTCTCGCTCTGGACACGAAAAGTTAAACACTTTCACTTCTTACGTTGTTAAATATGTCTACAACGTCATTAAAAACATATTTTCTGAAACATTCTTTTCAATATACTCTTAATTATTAATTAAAATTATTAAAAATTATAAAAGTAAATCTCAAATAAATTTTATAGTTTTCAATAAATTTTATAAAATAAATAAGAACGTATTGTTTGTATAAAACAAGTAACCAACGAGCTCACTATGAAGAACTACCAATGGTTTATTTATTTTGGTGAAAAAGATTAAAAAAGTATAGAAAAATAAAAATTTTATCTTTAGATATTTTGCCTTATTTAAGTGAAGAACATTATTTTTCGTGCAATCTACTAAATTATTTTCTCACACATAATCGTGACATTTTGAGTAAGAATAGCAAAATGAGTCAATCTGAGTTAAGTTCAACTCATCCTTTATTTTTTTTTACGGTTTGAAAACATCAACTCACACATTTTTATAAGTGGATTGAGGAGTTTTCCTACTTAAAGATTTTTAAAAAATTAAAATTATGAAAATTTAAAAAGATAAAAAATTATATGTAAAATAAAATTTAACCTACTTAAATCACTAATTTATTTATATTAATATTTACTAAATTCATATATATATATATATATATATATATATATTATAATATAAACAATTATTTTTTAAAATATCTAACCTAACGGCCCAACCCTTTCTTTATCAGTAGCCATGGGTTAAGTAGGTTGGAAAGTTCATAATTTCACTCTATTTTCACGAAGAATGTGGATTTTTTTTATATTTATTAAAAATTATTTTAAAATAATATAAATAATTAAAAATAATTAAAAAATAAATAACTAAGAAAAATATTATATCAAAATAAAATTTTGTTTTTATTATAAAAATATCATTTTAACATAAACAACCTTTTTTTTTTTTAATTTTTCATTCACTTAAACAAGTAAAGAAAGATTTTCTCACTTTTATTGTCTTAAGTGTGGGAGGGGAAGATTTAGATGGTTATTAATTATCCTACTAGAACCATATTACTAAATATAATTTTGAGAATTAAATAGAACATGGATAAGTAGATTGTTTTGCTGTGAGTAGAACTTTCTTAAAGCTATTAGTTGTGGCTTTAAATAGAATCTGCTTAATTGTTAATATTAATTGTACTATTCTGCTTGTAATATTGAGTAAAATATGTGCTCCTATTAGTTTTAACTTTGTGATTATAAAATAAAAATAAAAATTTCAAACAACTCATCTTTTTTGTCTAGTTAAAATAATTTAAAACAGTTGTATTGATATACGAGGTAGAGAAAAAAAAATTAAGATTAAAGAGAGAAACTTAAAAGATTTAAGAAATTAAAAGAAAAAAAAAGGAAGGAAGGAAAAAAGTTAAACTTTTCATTTATTTCGATATTTACTTATTTTATGATAAAAAAATATTTTATTTTATTTTTAATTTTTAAAAAATTCAAAAAATATATTTTTTCTCTAAAATTTAATAATTTTAAATTTATCTTTCTAATTTTTCCTCTATTTTTTTTTTCAAAATTTTCTTACTCTAAAATATATCATGGTTGGTTTAACCTCCTTAATTCCAAGCCTTTTTCAAGATTGCCGTAAATTCACACAATGTTCTGTCTATTGGTACATTTTCAATGGCTCAAGGTATTGTATCTGAGCTAAAATCTTAGAGCTTTTAGATTGTTTTTTCTATATAGCATTGCATTTGTCGGTTATGGTTATGATTTTATCTTATTATCTTTCTCTTTTTAGAAAGAAGTTTTTTTGTAAATTTAATATATAAATGACATTTTTTTCTAAATTTTCTAAAAAAATAATATTATTTTTTAATTTTTAAAAAATATTAAAAAACATAACAATTTATTTTCTTCTTTCATTTTAAGGACTCATTTAGTGAATATAATAGGATAAGAAAATTATAAGATAGAGATATGGATAAATATAGAATATGATAAGTGAACGATAAACTTTTATCATATCTTATCATTGATGCATATCAAGATAATAGAATAATAATATTATATCATAATTTTTAATGTTTGAGAAAAATAAAAAATAAAAATATTTTTTTAGAATAAATAAAAAACACATATATATCTAATAAATATATTTGTTTAGTGAGCACATATTAATTAAATAATTAATTAAAAATCTATAATTTTGATTAATCCTCTCAGAATCTAAATTCAGTTTATCTTATAGATCAATTAAATAGATAGTGGCACAATCATCTTTTACTTAAATACTTGAAAGTTATTAAGATTGATTAGTATTAAATAGAACGAGATTAATGAAATAAATACAATTAATGAAAGAAAATATACAATGAAAGAAAAAGGGTTGAAGCCTAATTCACATTATAAGATTTACCCTAATCTTTTTCTGTAGATTTAATTATTCATATTAATATAAATATAAAATTAAATCATAAAAATAATTCAGAACTAGAAAGCAAAAAACCTCGTACACCAGTCATAAAAGTGTTACTAGCAGTGATTACAGAGTGATCAAAAGGAGGTTTGCGAGAATTTTCAAGACCAATCAAATTTAGCTTTTTCTATAAAAGAGTGGGTCACTGGTTTTTAAAGACAATTGTGCACAGTAGCTCGAAGGTGCAAAGTGGCAATTTTGCAAAGTCATTTATTTTTTTAACAAAATTAGTATTTTAGTCTTTAACTTTATTTTTTATTTTAGTTTTATCTTTATTTTTTAAATTTAGTCTTATTTATCTATTATGATGATAACATGAATTTTTTTTATTTATATTTGAATTTTTAGTTTATATATTTTGTATCTACATTTTTTTAAAATTTGTTCGTTTTCCTTGTAATTTTCGAATGGAACATGTGAACCTATTATTATGGTGAAAAACTGAAGAGCTATATGACCCGTGGAAAAGAGAAAAAAGAACGATTTAAAATAAAGAAAATATGTAATTAGGGGTTCCTTATAAAGTAAGTTACCTTTATCTTTTTTATTTTTTTCATCTTCTAATTTTTTTTATTTCATTTTATTTATTTGTTTGATTTTAAAGACTAACATATTAATTTTTTTTATTTTTTAAACATTTTTTAATGTCGCACATGGGTTGCTTTTCTTCAAAGGATCATATCAATTTTTTAAAATACTTTTATTTTATTTGAATTTTTTAGTTTATATATTTTGTTTCTATCTTTTTTTTTATAATTAATTTGTTCATTTTCCTTGAAATTTTCAAATGAAAGCATGTGAACCTGTTCTTATGGTAAAACAATAAGTAGCCACTCGTGAGAAAGAAAGAAAAAAGAGAACAATTTAGAATAAAGAAACGATGTAATTAGGGGTTCCTTATAAAATCATTAAGTAAGTTACCTTTTATTAGGGATTTGCATTTAAAAAATTAAAATTAAAAAATACTTAGATTTAAGCTTCTCTATGTTATCATTTTAAAAATGATAATATAAATATCTCACTTATTATAAGAAATGCAAATAATTACTAATATAATTTTTTCAAACTGTTAATAAAATAATTTTAACAGTAGTAATCTTTTATTTTTGTCTCAAAGACAATTGTTGTACTAAAAATAAAAGAAAATTTAAAAATTAAATAATGTTCAATTTTTTTAAAAGTTTTATTAACTTTGTAAGAGTTGAGTTTAAGCATTCATAAATAATTTTTTATTAAAAAAATATATAGTTATTATATTGAAGTTATAAAAATATAATAAATACTTTTTTTAATAAAATTTTATTATTATTAACTATTTATTAATAATTGTTTTTAATTATACTCTCTTAAATGATAATCATTAGAGAGGTAGCAGCATTGGAATTCAGCGAAGGAAATTAGGTGTCTGAATTAGATGTTATGATGAAGCTAATTATATATGGCGAACAACCATCACTTGTTCAGAATTAATTAGAAAGAGACAACAAAAGATGGCATTAGCTAGCAATTCAGATTTGGAATGAGGACCAATTTCCCAACAGAACATCCACTGCTACTCATTCCCAATGTCATCATCACAATGTCATTACGATATTTATTTAAAGATTGTGGAAATGGTAGGGTCTATGAACAGAGAAGGGGCCAACATGCCTCTTCCCTCATTTGTGTGAGGGTTAATTAACTTTTTCTTTCAGAGTGTAGAAGCTGTTCCATTACGTCAACACTGGTACCAAAGCAAAACATATATTTTCTTAAGAAATAACAACTCAGGTGAGAGATCATCACAAGAGAAAGAAATAGAAAAATAAGTTAAATTTATAATTTAAAGAATAATAAATTAAGATTCAAAGTACATCTAATAAAGGGTAGCAATACATTTTTTAATACATATTTTAGTTACTGGTTAAAATTTATTAAAAATATAAAAGATTAGTATATTTCACTTATAATTTAATAATTTTTAATCCCAATTTAATGATTTCTTCTCATATTTTTGTAGTTTATAATACAGTTTAGCTATGTTATGTTAAAGGATTTGTTCTTAGCCCTCCTTGTTAATAACTTATGAGGTTTAACATAATTATACGTCATAATACTTTATTTTATATATTATATTAGCTTCATTTATTTCATATAACAGTAAAGGAAATAAAAAAAAAATTGTACATGTTACAGTATAAATTGAAGGATATTTTGTATCAGGTAAAAGAACATGAAAAATCATGTGTAATATATTAGTGTAATTTTTTATTGTAGTGGGTCTTGGGGGTCTTTAAATTGGAGATTGGGGTGTGGCGTTAGTTCTTCTTCCTTGGCAGAGAGATGATAAATGCAATTTGTGAAGATATAGATAGGAGAGAGAGAGAGAGATGATCTTGATAGATAGAAAGAGACCCTTTTGAGAGAGTTTTGCTTTGTTGCATTCTTCACTCTTTGTTAATTTGTTGGGTCTCTATCGGTTGCGGGTAGAGGTGGCAACAGAGAGAGTCATTTCCTTTCCTTTCCTTTCTTCTGAGTTTGCCATTTTTCCGCTCAGAAAGCTTCCCCACCAATTCAGCTTAACCTGACAGTGAGATCTATTTCATGATACATTCCATTCTTTGCGAGAAAACAAAGAGATCCAATACAAAAACATCACAAACTATCCCTTCTTATTTAACCCTACTTCCCTTCTTTCACCTTTTCCACTTCCAATCTTCATCCTCACCTTTCTTTTGCCTCTTTCTTTCTCTTCTGTTCTCTTCTTCCTCCATTTGGATCCAATTCTAAACACCACGTGTCAGGTTTCAGGAGAATAAAAGTTGAAAGGGTGTTTTCATTCCCTAGGACTTCTACATTTGTTTGTAACTTTTTAGTTTCTTTACTCTTTTCCTTCTACTGAAAATCTGTGTCTGATTTTTGGTGAAGTTGAGAGAGATATATATCATATCATTTTAGTTAATTTGCACCACAGTGTCGAACTCCTATTCATTTTTCTAAGACATTAAGGATTTTTCATCCTTTGTGGAAGATCTGTGACTGCTCCACTTAGATCTGTGCCTTTCAGGAGAGAAAGGTAGACATATACTTTTATCCCATTTCCATTTCTGTTCTCTTTTTAAACTATGCTTATATATAGTTCAATTAGATATGTACAATATGGATGTGGAAACTTTTATCTTTTGCAGTTTAATTAAGATTGAAGTAGTATAAAAGTGCTGGAAGAAAAGGTTTTGATTCATTTTGCATGTTCTCCACTTTCAATGCTTGATGATATACATCTACTGCCATCTCGTCATTGCATAGGCATATAACATGGTTCGTGAACTTTATCCTTTCGGAGCATGGGTCATAAATTAGTGGGAATCACAATGAGTGACAAGTACTTGTATGTTTTCTTGTGTAGTATATGTTGTGCATGTCTATTGACGCATGTCTGTTGACTATGTAAGCATTTCACATGCATTATAATCATTTCCATGCCTTTTCCCCATCTATATCTATAACAAGAAACTAAATTGGATCACAAGTTTTGTTCTTCTGTTCCTACATTTTCATATATTATTTTTATAATACGATAAAAAAATATTTATTTTCCAAATAAATATTGGCATGGGGGAAAGCGCTCTTCGCTCATTTCACTGTGTGAATTATAGGGGATTTTTTATGGAGCCAGCAAACATTTAGACAATCTATGATTAGAAGTAACGGTGTTCACCGGGAATTGCATAATAAACAGCATGTTTTTATTGACTTAACTATCTTGCATAACTAGCTAGCTTTGATTTCACATTCAATTGTATTTAAGAAATAAGTTGAAATGCTTTCATTTGATGTGGATGAGAATGGTTGAAATAAACGGGTTTATCACTAATTAATTTTACTAATATTATCATATGCTCATTTGTTGATGAGATAAAGGGTAAATGAAAAGTATAAGAACATATCTTATATACTTATCTTTCTTGAGATTAGAATTACCCCTTACACTTGCTTACTTTACGTTACTATTTATGAGGAAAAATGGTATAAGGATGAACATTATGTATATACATAGGATAAGTGCATCTTTTAAAAAACAAAAAAGAATGACAGTATATAAAAACCGTATATAAAAGAAGGGATGTAAATATAATTCGTCCAAAAATAGGAATAAAAGGAACTAATGCTTAAAGTCAACGTAATTACCCAAATAATTGTTTGTTATTCCGTCCTTCAAGAGAAATTAGGTTAGAAATTTATCTTCAGCTTCCCAGAATTCAGGCATTTAAATATCTAATAAACCTTGATATATTTACTATCGATTTTGTTAGAAGGACTAATTTTAAGTATATAAAATTAGTTATTTTTTTAAAAAAATAATATTTTAATTACTTAATTTTTGTCTAAAGCTGAATTTCATTTATCATTGGTCGGTTTATCTGCCGTGGTCAGTGGATCTAGAGTTTGCTTAAACTTAGGGTTACTTTCCTTCAAACAGTTAAGCTCATCCCATAATTTTCTACAATACTATTATATATTAAAGTTTATGATCAAGTTGATGAAAGCTAGTTTTAACTGGTTCTAACTTCTAACAAAGAATCCTGCCAAAATGTACTAAAACCATTATTAAACCAGAGGAAATAAAGAAAATAAACAGAAAAATTGCAGTGTATTCTTAATATTCATAAGCAGGGCGTGATTAATTATATTTCGACATAATGACCAAACTGGTCTTATCAGAATGCACGAGAACATCTCTTGCTCTTGGTCAACTGAGAATAGCTGAAATGATAGGTATATATATAGATGATAGATAGATATACTTGATCACCCGTTTCCTGTTAAAACTAACATTTAAATTTGGCTTATCTAGCAAGAGAAAATATACAGGGACTGAACAGTATGTTACAACTGCTCTATACATGCAGGACTTGGAAGAGAGAGTGAAAAACATGAATAATTTTTCTCACGTTCCCCCCGGTTTTCGGTTCCATCCCACAGATGAGGAACTTGTTGATTACTACCTGAGGAAGAAAGTTACTTCAAGGAGGATTGACCTCGATGTCATAAAAGATGTTGACCTCTATAAAATTGAGCCATGGGATCTTCAAGGTAGTACTAATAATTTTTAGTGTATAAATCAATTTAAAATCAATAGGAAAAATGTTAATGGTAAATGATACATCTCATTAATTCATTTCTTTTTTTGTTATTTTTGCCTGAAATATGAGAGAAGAGCTTTGCAGAATAGGAACAGAAGAGCAAAATGAATGGTACTTCTTTAGCCATAAAGATAAGAAGTATCCAACTGGAACTCGCACAAATAGAGCAACAGCAGCAGGATTTTGGAAAGCAACTGGAAGAGACAAAGCAATCTATTCTAAGCATGACTTGATAGGGATGAGGAAAACCTTAGTCTTTTATAAAGGTCGAGCCCCTAATGGACAAAAATCTGATTGGATCATGCACGAGTATCGCCTCGAAACAGATGAAAATGGCACACCACAGGCAAGTTTCAAATTTAATTACTCATTTTATTATTATTATTATTATTATTATTATTGTTATTATTCGTTTTCTTGTATAGTTGGTGCATGTATCACACGTATAAGACAAAAATATTACACTTGATTGCATTAGAAAGCAGTTGAATGCGTATACATGATGTCTATAAACTGTGCTTTTTTTCTTTAAAAAAAAATGGGTAAAAGTTATTAAAAAATATATAATTTTAAAAATGAAAAGAAAAAAATTATTAAAAAATATTTTAGTATTTTTTAATGGATTGAATAAAAAAAACGTTGCTTTTGGAAAAATATTAAAATAGTAATTCATATTTCCAAAACCACCAAAGTTGTGTGGACTTGTGGATGTGTTTGATTCTCGTATTCAATTAGCTTTTGTCACTATTAAGCTACAGCTACTTTTTCTTCTTCTCAATGAATGCCCTTAAACTAACAAGTAGATTAATCATTCACTGAAATTTTTTGTGCTTTGAATCAGGAAGAAGGATGGGTTGTCTGTAGAGTATTCAAAAAGAGACTAGCAACCATGCGTAAACTGAGTGAGCATGATTCTCCCTGTTGGTATGATGACCAAGTCTCTTTCATGCAAGACTTGGACTCACCAAAGCAAAGCTCTCAACCTAATTTTTCCTACCAGTTCCCTTACCCTTGCAAGAAAGAGCTAGATTTGCCATACCATTTACCTCTCCAACTTCCAATAGAGAACCCAAAACTGCTTCAATCTGCCTCCAACACTATGACACCATTTGGTATAGAAGAAAATCACGCCACTCCAGCATCAATCATGCAACAAGTTCAACAAACTAGTCAGCAAAATTTTCAGGCAGTGTTTGGACACAATACCAATGAACAAGTGGCTGATTGGCGAGCTCTTGACAAGTTTGTTGCATCACAACTCAGCCAAGAAGATGCATCCAAAGACAATACTTACACAAGCAACAATATATTTCAGGTGAAGAACAATAGCAATATTGAACAGTTGAGGGAGTTGGACAAACAAGACTTGATGCCTGAAAACGCCTCAACATCAAATTCAAGCTGTCCAATTGACATGTGGAAATAGTGGCTGAATGAATTGATTTTGGGTACATACTAATAATAGGGGTTATTAGCCATTATAAAAAGGAGGAAAAAAAAAGTGGAAATACCGTTTAATTTCCTGTACATAATAAACGAAATGAACATGACATTAAAGCTAGTACGTGCATGTGAATTCTCTGGCTTCACTTCTAGCTAGCTACTAGCTAGCATTAAGTTAAAATTTATTGAAATATATAGTCAAATAATTAGTAGAAAGTGATCATATTTCTCAGAATAGCTAAAGCTTGCAGAAATTATAGATATTGTGTGGTTTAAAGTTGATGGGCTCTATTATGTAGCCAAATGTCTAACAGCCACCCCAGCTGTTCTATGTTTGTAAGTTACAATATTCAAAACAATTAGTTATAGAATTAATAAATGATTCTTTATCCTTTATGGTTGTTAATTTCTGAATTTTTGTTCAACATCTTATTATTCTCGTTAACTGATTTATATATGGTTTTTGGGTCTTTGTCTGTAATATGCAATAAATGTTCCTTTCTTTCATCGCGCTTTACAAGATTAATCAAAACAAAAGGGGATATTGTGACGTTAACAAAAAATAAGATAAAACAGACAATTTTTTTATGAAGATTTGAATATTCGCTCCTTTTTCAAGTCTTAATCGTCGCCTAGGTTGGACACATATCCTTGAATTGTCGTATATATGGTCCCTTTCCTTGGCAGCAAAGATAAAATAAAGTACAATGATTCGTTACTGTTTGTTGGTCGATCGAACATCAAGGATACGCTAAGACAAAAGGTTATGGAACCTTGCTCTCAAAAGTTAGCAGATGAAAAATGTTTTCTCACACCTCAACGTGATGTATATAAATATATACCCTAGGAGATGAAGAGAAAAAGAAAGTAAATGAAAAATAAAATTAGTGATATAATGAGAAAGAAGAAAGAGGGATAAGATAAGGATTAAAATTAAGGTTCTAAAAAATCAAAATTGTTAACACTGAAAAAAACGAGATTTCTTTTTCACTCCACTCATGGCCCACTTCCAACAAGGCAGCCAATGGTACCACATATGCTTTGCTGCCAAGTCTCGCAACACACATAAGTTATATAATCATACGGGCTAAAACTCTAGGAGGTTTAGAAGGCAAGCAAGAGATCAACTACACATTACCTAAGCTTGAAATTGGGAGTACAAGAAGTTAGCTCTTTAGTTATTCCATGTAGCACCAAATCATGCAAGCAAATGATTAGAGGCATGATGAGGATCGCAGGTGCCTCTTCATATACTTAAAAAGACTTGTTGAAGAGTCAAACTGTGCAAAATATATCTGTTGGACTACATTGCGATGCTAATATAACGATCAAATAATTGTGACAATTGACATAAAGTAGTGTAAGCTGGAATTGGGTTAGGCAATGTATTGAATGGGAAGATGGGAATTGAACCATATATAGAATTACAGATTAACGAATTGTACAGGAAGCAACACTATATTCTTGTAAAGTAAAGGAATATAGCAACCTTGACAGTAAGATGACAATCATATTCTTGGTATAACAGAAATAAAAAATTAATGAATGATAACAAATTTACAGAATCAAACAACCTTTGCTGATGCTATGATGATGTAAGTTTGTTTAGAAGTAGGCTTACTTTTTTAGTTGAGGTATTTTTAAAGTTACTTGAATGAGTTATTATCAAATTATATTATTATTATTATTAGTAGTAGTAGTAGTAGTAGTAGTATTTTCAATTGAATTTGTCATTGTGTAAAAACGAATGTCAATGTGTAATTTATTTTATTTGAGAATCTAGATTTTTTTCTCGAAAAAAACAAGTAACAAGAGTCCTACACTACTATGGCAATAACCTTTATACACTTACTTTTTTCTTTCTATCACATTATTCATCTTATCTCTTATTTCTCTTTCTCTTTTTTTTGCCCTTATCTTTTACATGCGTCAAAATTGCTGTATATATGTATTGTTAGAATAGTATTACTAAAAGTAAAAAAGTGAATGGCATCCACGAAAGTACTACAGAGTACAGCTTAGTACATATAGGAAAACTACAAAAAAAGAATAAAAAAAGGAACACGTAAAAAAAATTTATGACTTTCTCAGGGATAATCGTTAGTGTTGAATTTAAATTTATACAACTAACAATAGTAGAACTTAAGGAAAATAAAAGCATTTAATACACTTTTGTGTTTTAAATGTAATAATTTTTTATCTTTGCTAATGAAAGTTTACTACTAAGTGGATGTTTAAACTTAATCATAAAAGTTAATAAAATTGTAAGCTTAAAAACCTTATTCATGAACCAGAGACATTTTACTACACAAAAACAAACCGTATGGCAATGGAGTTTTAGAGCAAAGAATCCAATGGAACTCAAAGCATTTGAGATATGAAGACCCAGAGAGTAAGTTTTAGTAATATTGGAATAAATGAGTGACTTAAAAGAACATGGAGCACTTAAAACCTAAAACCTGAATTTGTGTTTAATAGAAGAACAACAGAAGAGAATTGAGTTGGTAACGATATACCTACCAGTAGAAATTAGCCCTAGCTAGTAGCAGTTGAACGTGAATGTAAATAACCATGTTCGGTAGCTTGTAGAAATGAAGAAGAAATAGAAAAAGAGCCACTGAATTATCGTAATAGTTAACGGGTGTATAATATATATGAAAATGGTAAAAGAAGAAACCGAAGAGGGATCCTAATGGGAAGTGCATAGTTGATAAGTGTTATATATTTAGCCATTTATGATTTTAGAAAAAAAAAATAAAAAAAAATAAAAAATATATATATATATATATAGATATATATGTATATATATACTATTTCTTTATCAATTGTTTACACATTGCATTTATTTCTTGTGAAGTCATGCTTGGTCTTCTTGTCTTTCTAAGCAATAATATTCTCAGACAGCAAACGCATGAGATGAAGAGAGAGATGCATAAAACGGAGACAGTGATTGAGTTGTACTCAAAGGAAGTAAAATAATTGCAGAGTCAAAACTAATTATTGACTAAGTTTCGCGTGCACATTTCCTTTGACGCTTAGGATTACTTTCATACTTTTTAACTACTGATCAACTTGCAAATACTTAGTAGCCCGAAAAAGACTCCTTCAACCTAACTTTGTTTTGTAAAGAAGGTAAAGTATCTATATTCTTAAATTTTTTTGAGTTAATATCATCATATATATTAAATTAATCATTAAAAACTTATTTTATAAATAAACTCCATTTAGAAAACTCTTATTTTTAGTACCCTGTACTGTATTTATGAGAACTTTTGTTTTATCATGATAAAAAAAAAATTGTTAAGTTTTTTTACTTCATTAAACTCGTTGACTAAAATTTAATTCTTAATCGTATATATAAAATAGTTTTCTTGACAAAGCTAAAGGTTTCAATAGCTTTCATATTTTAAAAAAACAATCTCTGATTATTCAGTAAAAATGCATTAGTACACACCATAGTTATTGTTATATGAGAGGGAGAGATTGTGCTCCTTATTTCAAATTAGTCAAAGTAGATCCATAGAAACCGATCATATGTGACATAACTTGGACGCACAAGCGTGGATCAACAGTCAGTTTTATAATTTGTAATATACTTATTATTACTATCATTGTTTGTATTGGAAGGAACGACAAAACATCATTCATTTACCCCCAATTGAAACATATCCATGTGACTGCTATTATGTTATCCTTTCACCACACAATAATCTATAAATGTAAAAGCCCACTAGAGCTGCTGTAAATGAAGTGAATATTATCTGATGCGTACATTGAGTGAAATAAATATATTAATCTAAACTTTAAAATGAGAATTTCATGGAGATATATGAGTGAAATGTGAAGTGTGAAAGGAAAAAGGTGGTGTTGTGTTGAGATAAAAGTCAACTGTCCTGTCAAACACCAACTGTTTAACATTGTGACATTGTTGTAAAAGGAAAGTTGAGCGTCAATATTATTGACAAAGTGTGTGTTTAAACGAGCATTGTAACTTTTGGCTCACAAAAAAAATGAAAATTTGTAAATTTAAAGTTAAACAAACTTAACTTTGTTCAATCCACATTTACTGATCATATGTACTAGACGAGGAAAAAAATCAATCGAAATTTACGACTTATTACAAAGATTACTACGCATTGACAAGTATGATATTTATAAAAGTATTATCATAACTAGTTAACATTGTGACAGTTGTAAAAGGAAAGTTGAGTGCCAATATTAACAAGTGCATGTTTAGGCGAGCATTTGTAAATTGAATTTTAAATAAACTTAATTTTGTTTAAAAGTGAGTTTAAACTGATATGATTTATGTTATAAAACTTCTTTTAAAAAGGGTAATTTTGTAGTAAAGCTTAATTTAAAATTTTTAACTGAGTCCAAAAGTTATAATTTATGATGTTAACAAAAATCAATTATGTTATAGAATCGCCTAATATATCACAAATTTTATTACATTACATCCTCACCCAGAGAACCTGTTCATTTTAGGAGTATTTAATGATGAAGATGATGACTGTGTGCTTCCATTTTCTCATTAATGTTACAATAAAATATTATGGGGAGTCATAAACATGCAAGAATTAACAGGTTGTCTTTAATTTATCATGGTTAAGATAGGCATGCAATTAACTCAATTATACAGAGGATTAAATCACATACTTTCTTTAAAAAAAAAATCAGTTACCTGATATATTATTATAATTACTCAATATTATGCTTTAATATTCTTTAATTTTTTGAAGTCATCATAATCTTACTAAAATTACAATTATTTTATTCTAAGTGTTATTTTTTTTATTTTTATGAAAATCTTTATATATAATGAAAATAACAAAAAATAATGAAATAAACGAATATGCATTTTATTGGTTTAATATAAGGAAGCATCAAAACCCCTTCAATTAACAAGGTACCTGCCGTAAAATTTACCATTTTATATTCATCCAAAAATATTGAAGTATCTCACATTTAATTTTGTATATTTTTATTTATTTTAAATATTATTACTTAAATTTAGTCAGTTTAAATTTTAAATCTTAACACGGTACATATAAATGATATGATTTTATTCAAATAATGTATTTACATATTCTTTATTTCCTAAATTCAAAAAAATTATCATTTTAATTTATTTTAAATTTAACAAAACAAAATCTTTATATTGACAATGAAAATATATTATTTTCTTCATGGTTAAGATTCATGAGTCTACTATTGTTTAACGGGGTAAGATACTTCTCTCTTATACATTTCTATTTATATTTCTAAATTTTACTTCAATTTAAAAATACACGTAAAATATACGAAAAACCGAGCGATTTATGTGACATGTCGCTGTTCTATAATTATATATGACACTCATAATTGCAATTGCTTGAAAATCAACAATTTGATACTACCAACTATATTCTGTAGACTAATGAAAACACCAAAACACATTAAAAAATAATAATATTTTATCTAAATTTTTTTTTTCCATCCGATTTTATTCAAGATCTAACTCAAGTTGCACACTTAAATATAAATTTATTATTAAAATTTTTTTTATACAAACTCAAATCTAAAATTTTAGATAAATAATAACTACTTATTATTCGAATCAACTTTTGTTAATATAACTTTACCTTTTAACTTAAAATTCGTGTTGTATATTAATTTTATTTTATACTGATTTTATATGTTAAATCATAGTCATGTCGTGACTTTTAATTCATAAAACCTTTTGCATCACTATCGTTAATGTCATACATCATATCCGTGTATATCGTATGCGTGTTTACCAACATTACTAAACTAAGTAGTGTATATAACAAGTTCACACGATCAAGTGCATGAAGAAAAGCTTAGACTCTGAAAATACGCGGCATTAACGTGTGAAAGTGTGAATATCACACTTAATATCCATGGAAGTAGTGAGTGCTAGCCGCGTAAACAAACACAGACACTGAATATTAATTACATGACATGATATTTCTATTTGTACATAATAAATGATAAAAAAAATTAAAAATGTTAAAATTTATAAAATTCAAAATTAATTAAAAAAGTTTTAAAATATTAAAATAAACTTAATCATATTTAGAAAGATTAAAAATATATTTAAATACAAAGAGAATCAATAGCTCTAGCAAGTCACACGTCTGTGCCTCATTCCGTGTGAAGGCGAATTATATACCACACGTAAAACACACACAAATCAAAGATAGAAAGCAATGCGTAGAAGGTATACAAAAAGTAATCAAATTCGAACTCTAATGTTTTTTTGTTCTCTTTGTATAATAAAGTACACGAGTTGAAAATTCATGCCAATCCTAATAAGATAAAGATTGCTAAAATGGGAAAAAAAATTTAACGTTCCTAAAACTGATAGAATTAAATGCTCATAAAGCAAAGAAATAAGACACAACACATGAAATCAAATAAATTAAGAGACCTTATTTTCAAGAGTAAAAGAAAGCAAGATTTATGATGCAAGTTTCTTAAAGACACACCGACCCAATATGGCAATGATAGAGTGCATGGGCAAAACAAAAGAGAACATCTTATTATGTTTCATCTACTTAGTTTCACCCTCTTTTGTTTTTTTATTCCATCCTTCTAAGTAGAGCTGAAATGTACTATTTTTTATGTTTTGTTCTATTTTGTTACAAAACATAACCAAGAAAAAAATATAGATCAAATATTTCGTTCAGCTTTGGTCTAATTCATCTATCAAACATTACCATCCTTTATTTCAACTAAATTACATGTCTTCGAAGTCCTAATTATCATCATGAAAACTCATATCCCTGTGCCTCCCTTGAAAGTGACAACATTGCTTATTAGAACAGTTTACAAAATATAATGCCTGACACAGTGTGTAAATTTTTTAACCATTCAGCATTTATTTTATCTATGGTTTGTCCATGGATAAGTGTCTTTACGGATAGGATAAAAAGCCATCAATTATAAACTGAATGTCCTTTGTCAGAAAGGTTAGTTTATACAAATAAAATAAACAGAATTGTCTAAATCTTGAAGAGTGATTATAAATAAATATGATCAATTATTGTTATAATTGATTATAAAAAACAAATTTAAAATTTAAATATACTAAGTATTACGTGATTTTATGATAATCCATTTTATTTTGATTGTCTAAATTAAATTCTTCAAGTTAATTTTGACAAAATCAAAAACAAAAGTTACGACTTGTATAATTTATTTTTAAGAAAATACAATCACATTATGACATTTCTAACAGCTTTATTTAACACGTCATGCATTACCAAATGACAAGAATGCATGTTGGACGTGACAAGGGTGCTAAATAAAGACTAATTAACCCCCTGTTTAACCCCCATATATAATGAAAAAATATTCTTAAGACGTGTGCACTCTCTACCATAATCTAACCCTAAAACCTAATCAATTAAAACTTAAAGGCATGACTAACAAAAATTTAAAACTTGAGGAACTCACATTTTGTAAACGGTCATGGATTAAATAGAAATGACCAAAACCAGGTAACCTTAAATGAGCTCTTCGTGATAAACAACTAAAGAGAAAATGTGTGCAAAGCATGACATAACTACACAAAAAAAGCATGTTCTTTCTTTAGACGAAGAAATTAGTAATCATCATTTCTGACAATCCTATATAACTACACTGTTGGTAACTATAAAAATGCCAATGGAAAAGCTTAGCTAGCTAGAATGTTAAAAATCACAGTACAAAGTCCCAGGAGCAATGTGAAAATGTTCAAGCTGCATCCCAAAGTAGAAGCTGCAGAAAAACCATGTTGCGGCCTGTAGGTATAAAGAAAGTAGATTTAATCAGAGAGAAAACAAAAGGACGAAAACAAAGTCACTCAATGCAAGCATGAGATAAATGGTACTTCTGCATGTTCTTGAGGGAGCCACAAAACAAAACGTTGTCCGGTGCACCCATCTCTGTTTCTCCATTTTCTTCAGGATTGACAATCCTCAGATAAGTTTCTTGGCCCAGGTACCACCTGTCCAGGTTTTCAGCTCTCAGATTCCATGATCCGACATTGTCAAGTGATACAAGAATCGCTGTCCACCCTCCAGGAAAAACCTGTTTAGTGTTAAATATACAAAGAATCAAGTTGAAGATTTAGAATGGCAAATTGGCAACAACCATTAACATGTAATTCACTCTCCCCTTGCCTTAGCTAGCATTGAGAGAACTTAAAGAAAACATTTATCAAGTTCTACATTCAACTTATTGGCTAGCTATAGAAAATAAGTTTATTTTCGGTTTATGATAAAATCTCACATCAAGCCTTTTGGCCAAAAAAATTTCTAGTTTTCACAAACATTGGGAAAAATTCATAAATTTTACATAGAAAATAAACAAAAAAGAAGCTGCCAAATCAACTTTAGTGTAAAAATAGTCCAACACTACTATCACCCTTTTACAGTTAGAGTGACAATTTCTTACCTGAGTTGTGCAGCGAGATATTGCATCCCACTTATTATAAGAGCCTCTAGAATTTTCTGACCAATCACCATAGTCCATCCTGAATTCAAGAAATCAATGTCTGAACTGTGATCACAAAGAAATTTACTCTAAAGACATACGGAAGGAAAAGTGATTCTTACCCAACCACAAAAAAGGAGTAGCCATCCAAATGAAAGTTTTGAATTGTGGTGTCATTATTTTGCAATATAATCTCAATGAATCCCTTATATGTAGCATTAATAATTGATCGGTCAATAAGTGGTGTTCTGTTCATTGGCTTGCTAGGAAAATCAAGCTTATAAATTCCTCTTAGTTGATGTTGGTCAGCAAGCCGGAATGGAATGTCAGGCTTCAGAAATGAGATCCCATTAATAGTAGCTCGATTAGTGCGATTGATTGGCACCGGCGAAGTAACCTTTAACACATAGGTATCAGTTATGTTGATGGAGCCATAGTGAAAGGATCCTTGAGGATTAGGACGAGCACCACTAGCAGATGTATTTTGCCTACTCGACCGAATTTGGAGAATTCAGTACATATTGTCAACTTACACGTGAAATCATCAAAAAATAAACAACAAAATATGGAAACTGAAATGATCGTGTCCTTTAAATTAATTATTTAAGCACTTAAGCCAATAGAATAATAATCTTTAACAAGCTTTTATGATCTTTCATAATAAATGATTTCAGATAACTTGGCAAAAAATCTGTTCAAAAAAGTTTTCACTTCATCTTACAAGGCAATTTTCACCTAGCTCCTACAATAGCCTTCAGTTTAGAAGCATGGTGGGATTTCAACTTGTGTATGAAATCATTAAGAACAATATACGAACTTAAATATTCTTTACCCCTATAGAGAAAACTATACTAATATGTGCTGATATATTATATAAGTGATTTCAGATATGGCAAACTCTTGCACGAATAGATTTTAGAAAAAGAACATAAAAAGATTAGTCAACACTCAATTCCTGTAACTGGTTACAACTGTGAAAACTAGAAAGAAGCTCATTGACAATCATAACTGATTTCAGTAAATTTCCTGAACACGCAGTTAATTTAGATGGAATACCATATAACACGATGAAAAATGTTTCCTCTATCTAGCAGATAAAATAAACCAATGGAAAAATAGTTTGAAGCGCAATGCAAAATTGAACTGCAATTCCTGTGAATTCTCTATGATATCAAATTCTGAGTGACAAACCTTACACTTCTTGCTTGGTTCATTGAAGCTGTCTTGTCATAAAAATCATCTGGCGGGGGAGGCAGAGGACCAGTCACTGGTCCCTTGGAATTTGAATAGTGTAAAACTGCAACACCTCTAACCTTCTGCCACAATGATTCATTCACAAACCGAGCACTTGCAACAATATAGTAGTCTGTACTTGCATTCTGATCAGTCGAAAGCAGAAAAGAGTAAGACTGGCCAGCATGAATATCAAAAGAGGTGAAATTTGTTTGAGTTGTGTAATGCCCTTCTGTCTCCACCAATAGCAGATTATGATTTTGAATTCGAAAGTTCAAAGAAGTTGAGATCCCCACATTGTGCACGCGAATTCGATATGTTTTACCTGTCAAATACATTTGCACTTACAATCAAATATTCAAACTGTTTCAAAATTATGATAACAATAAAAAGGGCAAAGCAACTTAATATGGCTATAAGAAATGCAAATGCAGCCAGTGCATGCAAATATGTATTATCATTCTATACAACGCCATGGCCCCTACAAATTTCTAATTTTCTTTTTTGTTTTATATGTAGAACAAAAAGCTTACCTGCCAAATACATCTGTACTTTCAGTCAATATTTAAACTGTTTCAACCACCAGCGAGGGAAATGCTAGATAAAAAGCTATGATAAAATTTAGAAGGGAAAAGTAGCATAAAATGTGGTTATAAGAAACGCATGCAGCCAGCGAGTGCCAATGTGTATTACAATGCTATCCATCACCATTAATCAGACTCCAAAACAAAATCATTAGTACTAAATACCAGAAATAGAGATAAGACTCCAGAACAGTAAAGAGGAAGCAAAAAAATACATTTCCAGTGCTAGCAGAAATCATAAAACAATCAGTCAGGAAATGGAGCTACAAATCAACATAGCTCATTGAGACAATGAAAATAAGATTATTTTGCATAGACAAAAGCAGCTTAAGAAGCCAGTGGAAAAAATGAAAGATACCAAATAGTCAGTAGCACTGAATATACATAAAAAAGACACTGATGAAGACGACAAATGCAAACAGCAAGGATCTCCACTAAAATGTGGGAGTAAAATATGAAAGTTCATTTTCTATATAAAAGGGGTAATAATAATACCTGGATCAACGGAAATTGTTTCATAATTGATGCCGCCAGGAACAAGAGTAGTGTTGTACTGGTAAGGCCCTTTCCCATTTATAAGAACACCATCTGGCATTCCAAGGTCTTTTCCACCATCAAGTGTTGCTCTCAGAGCCTACACTTTCAAATATGTATGCATAACAGAATTAGAAAACAATCACAATGCACACCATCTCCAATATTTACAGAAAAAAAAAAAATTAACACAAGACAATTGCTTACCTTGTGGTTCTGAGTATACCAGTCACCAATCATAATGAAAATATCACCATCTGGCTGTGAAAAAGGGATTGGAATAATTTCCCTATTGTTGATAACAAAGGGACCAAAGCCACCAGAGGCTCTTTGGAAATTGAGAGAAGGGAAGTAAAAGAAACTCCCAATTTGATCCTTGACTTGGAATTGATATGTCCAATTCCAATGGGAAGGAATTGGACAATTTGTGCCAAGAACTCCATCTTGCCAAGAATTGCGCCGCATTTGAATTCCAGGCCTGCCACAAATTTGTTTAATTGCAAATAGATAAAAAAATGAAAAATAGAGAGAAAAGTAATATAATGTAACAGTGGAACCAACCATGTAATGAGAAGATCTTCATCTAATTCATTGAAAACATTCACAACTACATAGTTATTGGTTGTAGCATTGATTACAGGTCCTGGAAACTTCCCGTTGATAGCTATGACCTGCAATCAAAATATGTTTGAACAATGAAAAAATCAAACTATGTTCTAGATCAACATTTGCTTCCTGATACCTTTCCAAAGTCACAGCAAATTATACTTGAAGTAAACTTAACTAAAATAAAAATTTAAAAGAAAAAGAGAGAATTTTCTCTTGTGAGGGTAAAGAATTTTGGGTACGTTTGACTACAAGAAAAAGAGAAACTAAAAACCAAAAAAGAAGGGAGGGCTCAAAATACATATGTAAAATCTCATAAATCTCCATTAAAATCCCACAAGGGCCACGGCTCCACGCCTCTACCAGTTTCAATCTTCATGCAGATAGTTTAAAGCAGAAACTTGAACAAGTGAGTAGCTTTTTCAATCTAGACTATTTCAAATATATTGAAAAGAAACTTGCAAGAAAACAACCACACGTTGATTCCCAACATCGGTTGTCAATGCATTCTTAACATCGAAATTTAATAAATACTAACAAGCATAAATATGAAGAATGGAGGAAATTAATTAGAGAGAGGGAGGAAGGGAGGCAAAAAAGCAGAGTCAACCAAGGAGAAGCCTTTTGAGAAAGAATTAATTTTGATGATTTTGACCATAAAGCAGAGTGACCCAGATGACAAATGAAGCGAGTCCAAATAGAGAGAAGAAAAAGAGAAAAAAAAAACCTGTTGAGGAATACCGAGAGGAGAAACAGTGATGTAAGAGAAGTGAAGCTCAGTGAAAACCGTTGGGTCGCCACCAAAACAGAGTGTTGCAAGCAGAGCAATGTGCAACAAGAAGAATGAGAATGACAGTAACAGAGAAAACCGAGAGAGAACCATGCTCTTAGAGAGAGAGAGAGAGAGAGAGAGAGAGAAGGAAACGGCTATTTGCATTTCCAAAACATGGCGTGTAAGAAGGAGAGAAAATATAGTGTTACTACAGGGTGTACCTTAATCAGATGGCCTGCTATTGGTCGAACCTTTTGATGTTCTTTTAGCGAAATTAAATAAAAAAAATCTTAAGATTTTTTAGGAAAACAGTTTTTTAACGTGTAAGTCACGCGTTAAGAAATTAAAATATCAATATTCTTTATTAATTTAATGTTAATAATGCATTAAATTATGTAATATATTGTTATTTTTAATAAAAATTTACTGTAAATAACATAGGTTAAAAAGATTGGTAGGAAAAATATATTAAAAAATTATAATTTTGTTAAAGTTAACACTCTAAGTAAAAGTAATATTATATATATATATATATATATTAAAAAGTGCATTAATAATATTATAATTATAAATATATAATAAATGTTTATTATATAAAAAATATTATTATTAATTATTTAAAGTCAAAATTAAAGACTGAAGTTAATACTTTTTTTAAGAATCAAGGTATAAATAATCTCTTTTTATTAATTTTGTAGTTTTTATTTTTTATTTTATTAAAAAATAAATTTAATATATTACAGTTATAAAATTATAATAGAAATTTATATTTCAATAAAATTTTATTATTATTATTAGGTGTTTGAACTTAAATTTAAACATTAGAGTTAACATTTTTTTTTAAATTAAGGCTTAAATAATATTTTTTTATTTTATAGTCTTTAATTTTTATTTTTTAAAAATTTTAATCTAATATTACATACTATAAAATAATAAATAATTAAAAATTAAAAAAATAAAAGGTAAGAATTAAAAATGACATGAACTGAAAAAATAAATATTATTATCTTCATGTGTTTATTATTCCTCGTATTTAAGTAATATTTATTTAAATTATTTCTACTATTAATATGATTATAAAATACATTTAAAATAAAAATAACAAATAAATTTTTTAAAATAATAAAAGATACAACTTTATTTTAAAGAAATATTTTTAAATAATTAATTTTTTAATAAAGAAGCTAGTTTGGGATAAAACTTTAAACTACACGGTGAAGTGAATATGTAAAAACTAGTAGCTCGCAATCTTTGCCTTCTTTCAATAATAGTTTTATTTTATTGGGGATTTTTTATGTTTTAGTCAGTGATTTTTTCGTATATTCTTAAATTAAATTAATATTTTAAAATATATTATATCATTATATTAAAAATTAAAAATTTTACAAGGTTAAAAAATGAATATATTAATTATGAAAAATAATGATATCACTTAAAATAAATAATGAAAAATAATTTCTAAAAATATTATCACTTAAAATAAATCTTAAAACATAATATTTTTTATATTTAAACAAAATAAAAATATTATCTTTAATAATTGTTACTCATAATTTATGTACAAAAATAATATTGTTTATATTTTCCTATCAGTTTTGTATAATGTATTTTAGTTATAAATATGAGTTTAATTTTTGTGCGCTGTTATTATAATTTGTTTTACATTATTAACTAACTAAAAAAATACACAACAACAGATATAATTACTATTATTTATCTGATAATTTCGAAAGACAAAATAAAAAAAAATGAAACTATTAATTATTTAAATTAAATTGGACAAATATTTTCTATATATTATTAAAAATATTTTGAAGAGTAATGATTTGTCTATCTCAGATTCTGAGTGTGACTTAAACAAATTTTATTTTATTTTTATCATGTACAAAAAGTTTGTTTCACCGAATCACCTGAAGGGTAATTAAGGAATTTCCATCCTTAATTTTTAATTATATGCGACGAGGCATACGCTAAAAAGAAATAAGAACAATTTAAAATAACTATTAATAAGAAAAGTGATGAAAGGAAAGGGTTAGTGAGAAGTGATATGATTCTTGTAAAAAGGGTGAGGGTCCACAATCCTACATGCAGCGCTTTTGGCCCCACCTCACAATCTAAATCTTATAACAATTTTTATTAATTATTTATCTTTTTAAAAATGTGCTTAATCTTAACATTTGAATAAAGTCAACTCATTCCATTTTGAAGTAAATGAGGCGTGGCTCTGGCTCACATGGGAAAGCCAGGCTGGGGTGAATTAAACATTTGATTTGGCGAAACAAACAATGGCTTTGTCTTTTATGATACGTCTTGAAAGACCAAACTATTGCCCACATTATTATATTTCAATTCCCAATAACTTCACTTCCTTTTAATTTACTTAAACACTAAATATTTAATTAAGTCTTTCACTTAATAGCTATTATAAATTTTAAATTTTATTTATCTAAGGTAATACGTTCATATTGTTCATGCATATCATTAGATAAATCATATATTTATAAATATATAATTGTATAATTTATATTTTGAATTTGTATATAAGATATTAAAATAAAATTTTGATAAATTATTAATTTATTTCTTATTTTTATTTTTTTAATTTCGATATATTTAAGAATAATTTTTAATTTGATAGATAAATTGAAAAAATTAAATATTTATAATAACAGTAAAATTTTGTTCAAAAATATATATTTTCACATTTTTATAACTTTAATATAATACTATTATTTGATAATTAAACTCTGTCTTAAATACTCACATTAACAAAATTATAAATACAACATGAAGACGTATAATGTAAAATAGATTTCTTATATAAAAATAAGGATGATGAATATAAACAAACAACCATATTAAAAGTTTTTTTAAAAGTTACACAAGTAAAAAATATTTTCTAATCAAGTACATTTTTTTAATCCAACTATTCAATATAAATTTTATAAAACATAAATAAAATTTACAAAATTTAATAGAAATTAAATATAAATAATACTTTTCCTGTCAGTTCACTTTATTTTTATAGATGATATTATTTAAAATATAAATTTATAATTATTATTGAATTTTAAGTCAAAATTTATTAAAATTAAGTGTCAAACTCAGACATTTACGTTACTTAATAATTTTTATAAAAAATTAAAATTGATAATTAAACTATTAATTTAAAAAAATTTATCAAATAAATTAATTTTATAAAATTTTATATGAAAATAAAATTAATAAGTAATTTATTGTATTACTTTTTTAATAAGTATTATATTTTTAAAAAAATAAATAAATATCAAATATTTATAATATATTTTATAAATATTTAAATTATATAAAATTTAATATACATGACCATAAAAATAATATAAGATGATTCAATAGTTAAATTAATCAAATTTTTTTATTTTGTAAAAAATATAAAATGTATATATGTTTGTCACGGTTTAAGTTATTTAAAATATTAATGGATCCTAACTATTGAATTTTATACCTACAAAATTTTAAATCATTTAAAATCAATAATGAAATTTAAAAAATGATTTTAAGAGCAAAGTTGTTAAATATTAGATAATAGAGAGAGGAAAGAGAGAGGGTTTGTTTCGAATGTGCATCCATCGTGTATCTGACTTTGAACCAACCTAAAGGGTCAAATAGTCAACTCCGTTCATTTTCTTCCAACGTGGAAAGGGAAGCCCACTTACTATATAAACCGTTCATTCATTTAGGTGCATCGCATCCCCACAAAACTTTATAAATTACTTTTTTTCATTTTTTCAATTTATTATAATAAGATTATAAATATTTTTCTACGAAACAAATAGTTAATTATTCAAACACGCTCTTAGAACCATAAGCAAGTAACTCATTTTTGTCTTATAAATACAAAGTCGAAATAAATCTTATAGCATATACAATTCGATTTTTGGAAAAAAAAAAAAAGTACTTGTGCTTTTTTTTTATTTTAATGATGTTTTTAAAATTAATATTAGTAACAATTTCAAAAGGATAATTTTTTTAATAAATTACTAAGATTCAATTTAAATAAATTTTTTAATAATTACTTATAAAAGATAAAGATATAAAAATAAAATGAATTAAATTATTTCTATAATTTGAAATCATCTTATGTTTTATTTTTTTTAGAATTTTTCTTATTTAACTTCTCTAAAATATAAAGTGCATAAATTAATTTTAATTTACTAGAAAAATTTTATTTATTTTATCTCTTTATATTCGTCTTCTATAAAGATTTATATAGAATATTATTCAAATGGACCTATATCAAAAATCAATTCATCTAGCGTGTAACAATAAAAGCAATTCAATCAATTTTTCAAAACCAAATTAATATTTACTTCATCTATTTATATTTATATTATGAAAATTTGTTTATCTTATCTTTTTTTTTTCTTTTATAAATACTTATCTAGAAGATTATTCAAATTGAACCTAAAACTATTTATATTTATGAGTTTTATTGGTGTGGACTAACTAATTTAAAAATATCTCTGGTAAAAAGTATTTTTAATTATTTTTTTAAAATAAAAATTTACTAATAAAACCATTAAATAATATAACATTATTATTAAAACATGGATAATACATATTAAATTTTAGATATATTAAATATTTATAGATATTTAATATTTTATGGTAAATTTTTAATTATATTTAAAAATATATCATATATAAAATAAAAATGTCTAATAAAATAGTAATTAGTTTTTAAATTATATAAAAAATTAATTTTAATTTATTTATATAAAATTTTTAATTTGATAATTAAATTAACAAAAATTAATATTAAATAAAATAATTATAATAACAATTACCTTTAAAATAACTGAACCTCTAGGGAGTTTTATGGGTATAATTAGAGAAAAGAATTGATATATATAGGGTATAGGCTGATGATTACGCATTAGCTTGGAAGATGTAGGGAGGGAAGTGCATTTCACCATCAACACAATGTGCGCAACAACATCTCAATGAAAATCATTAGTTCATGAAAATTGGGAATAATGTTAATAAGCCACCATGTTATGATGATTAAAGTTTGGTTTGTTGAAATTCAATATTATAAGAAGTTATTCTTATAACAAATTTCATTGACGTTAATTTGTGTTATACACATGAGTAGGATGAAATTATGTCCGTTTAAATTATATTTATTTTTATACTTTTAATGATTTAATATAAAAAATACTTTAATTCTATAAAAAAT